GTGTGAGTGTGTGTGTGTGTGCGTGTGTGAGCGTGCGTGTGAGTGTGTGTGTGTGAGAGTGTGTGTGTATGTGTGTGTGTGTATGTGCGTGTGTGTGTGAGTGAGTGAGAGTGTGTGTGTCTGTGTGTGTGTGACTGAGTGTGTGTGTGTGTGTGTCTCTCTGTGTGTGTGTGTGTGTGTGTGTGTGTGTGTGTGTGGCTGTTATTAAAACATTTGTACACACACGTACACTGGTGGCCAAAAGTTTGGAATAATTAAACTTTTTTTTTTTAAATGTTTTTTATACTCATTATACTCACACAATGGATGCATTTAATGGATCCATAAATACAGTAAAAACAGTAATATTGTGAAAAAAGTTACAATCTAAAACAGCTGTTTTCTATGTGAATCTCTGTTAAACTAATGTATTTCTGTGATGCGCAGCTGTATTTTCAGCATCATTCCTCCAGTCTTAAGTGTCACAATATTACAATATGCTTATTTTTTTGCTCAACAAACATTATTATCGATGTTGAAAACAGTTGTGTACAATTTTTTTTTTTTCAGTCGTGCTGCACAATATTTTTGTGGAAACCGTGATACATTATATTTTTCAGGATTCACAGATGAATAGTAAGAACAGCATTTATTTGAAATAGAAATTAAGTGGTAATTAATGTAACGCATCCTTGCTGAATAGTGTTAGTTTCTTTTTTTTTATCTTGCTCTCTGAAGGATCATGTGACACTGAAGAATAAGAGACTTTAACATAAAAAAATCTTAATTATACTAAACTTTTGGCCACCAGTGTTTGTGTGTCTTTGTTTTAAAGAGGATTTGTTCTAGAAGCGCCTTTGCTTTTAAAATGAAATGTGGACTTGTTTTCTTGTGTCTAGAGTACAATGACTTGAAACACGAGCTGCGTGAGTTTCTTCAACAATCTGCAAACCAGAGAAAGGTGAAGATAAGAGCAGCTTCTATGTCCGTCACTGAGAAAAATAAGAAGTGAACTCGATTCTAATGGATGTAGTTTGTTTATAGGACGTGACTCCTGAGGCTTTCCATGAGTTTTTGGAGGAACTGCAAACAAGAAAGAAGAGACGGTTGAACTGAACCCATCAACATCACAGAGTATTATGAAACTTATTCTTAGGGTGGATCCTCTTTAATAAAGTCTCCGAGCAAAAACACCATTGCTAGTGTGCGGAACTTTGAATTATTTCATTATTATTGCTCTTTTATTATTATTGTTATCTCTCTAGATTCCCTCTGTTAATTGTCAGTAAGGCACTGTCGGTCCACTTTGACTTGATGGGGTTAGCATGCTCCAGGACTGCTGATATAACAGCATAATGTGTGTTATTTTACAGTCACACAGTATTTCTGCAGTTACACTGACACGCCAGAAGGTGGTGACAGAAGACTGTACTTATGAGGCAATGGAACTGATTCATTTCAAAACACTGCTATATTTGGTGAACTTCTCTTTGTGATCATTATATTCGGGTGTGTAGATGGAGTGCAGTATAGCCCTGCTCCAGCTGCCATGTTTGCATTGTCATGTGACCTCCAGCATCAGTCACATCTCTTCCAGCCGTGCATGACTCTGGCCGAATCTGTAAGGTTTCCATTAATAATAGAAGTAATATTCAGGCTCCTACAGTGTGCCAATGACAACTGCTGCAAGGAATGAAACTCTATTTGATGACACCTCGTCTAGCTATACGGTCAAAGCAGAATGACAGTAATTAAACAGATATGTAGAGTTAAATTATAGTAAGATTTTGTTTTTCTTTTATTTAAATGCTCATGAAAAAGAACAAAACATGATGACTGAGTGCTTAACTGTGTAATATCCTTTGTATATCATATGTAATGTGTCCAAAAAATACGAAGAACATATTCTCAAAAATGCGAAGGAATAGTCGATGCTGTGCACAGGCGCTGTTAGCTGCTCGGTCTGGAGAGAAGTGCTGTGTCGGCGAGGGTTCAGACATCTTCACGCTTGCTCTATGCATCCAGGAGACGTTCTAACATGTCTACGAAGGCAGAGCAGTGTAAGTATGACGACGCTTGCTGCTGGGTCATGTATGGAGTAATATATGGAATATATCATAATCTCGGAGGGAGCGGCGTTGTTTCGGCAGCAGTCTGATTGAGCGCATATGTGTATATTTATATAGATATAAATACTGTATAGTACGGAGGGTAGAAATGTTAGAGCTTTACAATAACAGCTGACGGGAAGAGTTTAGACTTAGATAATGATAATGTGGTGCAGAAGACAGAAGATGTGATGTGTTTTTTTCAAGGTCGTATAGTCAAGCCATCCCTGCAGTGAAACACAAGCTCGAGTTGTGGTTTAAACGCTGATGAACTGCATGTGTTTGTTCATCTAATCATGCTGTTATTTAGAGAAATCAGATGCTGGGTGATGTCTGTGATGTGCAGATGAGCAGTGCTGTCTGCTGTCTGTTTTTATTGCCCAACAGTCGGTCCTCCTCAAAAATAAGCATCAATGCAAACTATAGCGAATTATAAAATAATGCTAATCATTTGACTGACCATTCATACTGCTATTCAAACACATGCTGAGCTTAAATCTTCTGTTTGTGATCATATGTAACACCTGGTCTTCATTGGACACATCATGCTTCATGTATCTGTGGTCAATAACATTAGTCTAATGCAGGTCTAGTCTCACAAACAAGACTTTATAACTGACTGTATATCATGCTGAGATGTAGATGAGCATTAGTCTATAACTCAGCAGTCACAGGGTTTATGCAGATCTACAGGAGACTGAAAACAGTCTGTCATAAGACAAGATCCTCACAATGTAAAACGGCACATCATATAAAAGGACAAATGTTAAAAAATGTTCATAATATAAATAAAATTGTGAGCACATAATGTAATGTTTTTGCATACTGTAATAGGTTGTAATTATGTTATGGACTCGTCATTATGGTAACTCATAATGTAATAATAAAGCGTAATTATAACCACGTAATCTAATACATTTCATACAATAAATATCCGTACAAAGGAAACAAAATACATAACACATATTGTATTTCTTTACAATAGTCCATATTTTTATTTTAATCTAGTTCATTACTCACAGAGAGCACAATGCCCTTTTTTTCTTTACACAGAATTTTGACCTTTTGTAAGCATTCTACATCACTAATAATCAGAAATATTCTGTTGTCTTTAACTCACACTCTAGTTGCTCCAAACCTGTCTTCAGTTAACTTACATTTGGGACAGAAAACAACATGATGAGAGTTAAAAATAGGAGCAAAACATCTGTACCCAGTGTGAGAAATAAGAGCGTGTTCATCGTGATACAAGAGCTCACAGACGCTGTTGTGTGACACATCTGAGCTCCAGCGGTTCGGTCACTGCGTTCATTTGTCCATCTGACAATCAAGACTGTCTGGTGTGGAAAACTCACTCGAAATAAGAGCAAGTTAGAAAACCTGTCTTCTTTCAGCAGTAACGTTGTGAAAATACAGATGTCATTGTGCTGCTGTCAGGAGCAGTTTCAGAGAGATCATCGTTTACTGATTTCTTCATCAAACAGCACAAAGCAGCAGCAGCAGCAGTGGATTGTTGAATATTATGAAATGTTAATTATGTGTCACTTTGCTCTTTATTTGTTTAGTTGGCTCTAAGATTCGATACTTGCAAGAGTATCACAACCGTGTGCTTCACAATATTTACCCAGTGCCATCAGGAACAGACATTGCAAACACTCTGAAATACTTTTCCCAGACCCTGCTCAGGTAAGTGCACTACACTGGAAATATAGGTGCGATACAAACACTGCTAATGTTGCATTCTAATGATAGGCAGAACTAGTTTCATTATTTCAAAGCAGATAAATATATCATCTTCTATCTAAATCTGATCATTTCTATAGCCACCGAGACATTAGAGCTCTATTTTATGATAAGATATATGCAGGAACCTCATGCATGCCAAAAGAACACATTTTGGATAAATTGTTTAAAGAGAGAGACTCAAACAGTTTTTCAAACACTATCAGGGAAGTTCTGAGTCGAGTATTGTTTTTGTTTGTCCTTAATATTTGTCTTTTAAATGTCAGTAGTTATAGTTAGACTCACAAGTTCACGTTATGTGTAAGAGCTCTTCCTCATGTTCACATGTCAATAGAAACAGTTTAATAAAGGTGCATGCTCGATGAAGCAGAGAAACCAAGTTTAGCATCTGAGAACAGTATGTAGTCGTGTGTATTTGTGATTCCTGTTATGTTTTTGTTTATCAGTGTTTTTGTCATGAAGAGTTGATAATGAGAGTACTGTCAGTGATATGAAATACTGGATTTCCATAGTTTTCAGTGGGTTTGAACTGTTTAGAGAGTTTTTCTTGTTGAGAACGCTGTTCATGTAGCATTCTGCAGCTGAACCACCTCTCATTCCCAGCCAAACAGGGCTGACATGTGTAGCTTTGATAAGAGACAGTGTGAGAAATACTACACCATCCTGTTGTATGTAACGCACATCCAACTACGTTCTCCTCTCCCTCCAAGACCATCACAGACCAAATTACTGCTGAGGTAGAAGTTGACAGGGGACAGCAGACACAAGCACCCTCCACATCCCTCCACGAACATGAGACATTGCTTTCGAAACCAGTGTATTCCTTTTCCATTACAGTTTTCCCCAGCCGTAGACTAGTGACATTTCTGTTAGAACTGAAATCCATATGCCTGTCCAACCATTATTCTCTTCCCCTAAATGATACTGAGGCAGTATCATAATGTATTTACATACAGACATTCTTTTTGACGGTGCAATAAACATGTGTTGTGACCAGGGAGCTTTTAGTCTAACCTCACATACATGTTTATTACTGGCTGAAGCATGTTTCTGAAGTGTCATCTCTGTATCGTCCTCAAAACTAATTATTTCGAGATTGCTCTCATCTCTGACAGCCCCTCCATTGCTCAATATTTCCCATGTGGCTCTTTAGCCTCCTGATCGGCCCGTGCCGCCCGTCCTCCGGGGATTGGCCGCTCGGAGGGCGCGGCGCGTGTGCCTCAAAGCTCGTTCCTCTGGCGAAGTACGGGGCTGCCACTGAAAACATGCCATTTTTTATATTTTTGCTCCTTGTCACCAGATACGCATGAGATGCAGTGATCGTCACGTGCTTCGCAAGCGCAAGCCTGCTTGATTTCGATCCAAACCAAAAGCCAGCTTTTCAAATGCATAGATGATGATGGCACATCTAAAGCAAATTCCAAAGTCTGTGGAGACACTGCATCCTATGTGGGGAATATCTGGGTTTGGTTCTTTTCTACTTACGCTGTCTCTGTAGAGCCATTTCAATGTAATGTGCTGTTTCTTTGTGTCTTTGTTGTCTCTTTTTTTCCCCTGTTCCCCCCCCCACCCCTCCCTCGGAGCAGCATCCTGTCCCGTACAGGCAGAAAGGAGAGCCAGGAAGCTTCCAATTTGGCCGTGCCCATGACCATGTGTCTTTTTCCTGTGCCATTCCCACTCACCCCATCTCTAAGACCACAAGTCAGTTCCATCAACCCTACAGTTACTCGATCCCTCCTTTACAGCGTTCTGCGGGACGCCCCGGCCGACCGGGGTGGTGCCACCCAGCAGAGTCGGGAGGTTCAGATCTCAGATTACCCCTCACTGGACTATCAGGGGCTCTATGCCACCCTCGTCACCTTGCTTGACCTGGTGCCCCTGCTGCAGCACGGTCAGCACGGTGAGTCCTGCGCCGCCTCACTCCCGGAGACACATTTCTGAGTGTATCAGAGGGGAGAGAAAATCACACTGATTGTAAAATACGTTGCTCGAAATAAAGATTACTGCTAGATGGGCGTTGATTTCCAGCCAAACAAATTCGCTCAGTCTTCTACAAATCAGTTCCGCCACGACTCACTTGCCGTTGGTGCCTGACGTTCACCCAGAAATCATCATTCTGTCATCATTCACTCACCCTCATGTTGTTTTTCTGCTGTGGAACATAAAAGAAGATATTCTGAGAAATGTCTTCGAAAAGTCAATGGTCAGTTGAAGTCAACTGGTTACTAATATTCTTCAAATATCTTCTTTTGTGTTCTGCAGAAGAAAGTCATTCAGATTTGGAAGCACATGAGGGGAATAAATGCTGACAGAATTACTATTTTTTTTGGTTAACTCTGACCTCTTTGAGATCCTCGGTGTGTTTCTCGGGAAATTAAAAGAATCTAAAAAAAAATAGAATATTGCTGCAGCTTATTAATCAGCCATTATTGGACGATTTTGAGATTATCGGCAGGAATTGCTCATTCCATCTAGTGTCCATTTTCAATAAAAAGTGCTCTTTTTTCTGACAGCTGTCAGCCAGCTTTATCTCTCCTATCTGCTGGCAACTAAATAAAATCAAAGTATGCCGTTAATTGCTTTCATTTTACAATTATTTATCTGAACAATGTGCATGAGTCTGAACTTGGCATTCTTCTATCTCCGTCATCTGTCATTCACCATAAAGAGCTTTGACTGGATAACAACATTATCAACGTACAGTAACGTACAGTATACTATTGCATTATGCAGAATTTGGATGCATTCTGAAGAAAACACAAGGCTTTAAATGTCATTGTACTGTTCAGAGATGAGTTGGTAAAGCTGCATAAATCTCTAGAGGACATGGTGCTCATTCGTTCATCTGCTTGTCTTTCAGATCTGGGACAGGCCATATTTTACACCACAACATGCCTTCTGCCTTTCCTTAGTGATGATATTCTCAGCACTTTACCCTACACCATGATCTCCACTTTAGCCACCTTCCCTCCTTTCCTGCATAAAGACATCATAGAATACCTGAGCACGTCCTTCCTGCCCATGGCCATTTGTGAGTAAACTAACTTTATTTATGTGACTATGAGAGATGTTTCTTCGAAGAAAGAGTCAGAGAATAACTTCAGTATTTGAGCGATCACATTGTGCTTCCAGTAGAGCACATTGCTGGTTTGATTAGCAGCAAGCACCAATAAATGCAGCACCATGTGACAATTGTGCACTATGAAGCAAGAAAATTATTTTTGTGTTGCAGTGGGTTCGACTCGAAGAGAGGGTGGCATTCCAGCATATGTCAATCTGTCTGCCTCGTCCATGCTGATGGTCACCATGCAGTACACTTCAAATCCAGGTACATATGCATTTATCAGGCTGCAAGAAAGTTACTTCTATAATCAATCACTGATGGTTATTTGCAGAAGACTCAATCATAGTGTAGCTTTTTCAGTACAGAGCGGGTTCTGGGCTCTAACTGTTTCTCTGGTTGTCTTCAGTATACCACTGTCAGCTTTTGGAGTGTCTCATGAAATACAAGCAGGAGGTGTGGAAGGTATGCTTCGGTTCTTCATGTCTTTTTGGAGATTTTTCCAAAAGCGCTTCTTACTGACTCAGAGATCACTGTGTTTTTAAAGGATCTTCTGTATGTCATATCCTATGGCCCATCCCAAGTCAAACCTCCAGCTGTTCAAATGCTCTTCCATTACTGGCCCAACCTGAAGCCTCCCGGTGCCATCAGTGAGTACAGAGGCCTGCAGTACACAGGTGAGATGTTTGATTAATTTCTCCAAACCACTGCTTTCAAATGGTTGGTTTCAATGAACCAGGTCAAAGCAATAATGTCAGCACGTATTTCTGACATCTCATCATTGTGGTTTACATGCTCAAACACATTTGGATAAAGTCAGGCACACGCCTGCATTGTGAATTATCCATTCAGTTATATTAATTTGGGGGGTTTATTGTCATCAATGTTTTAATCAGTGAATGTGACAGGCTAGTATTGATTAGGTCTTAATTAAGTTTTACTATTCTACAAATAGATTAGGAAAATCTCGGGTTACTTGACTGTAATGTTGTTCCATGAAAAGCACCTTCAGGTTATACCTTTGTCTGAAGAGATGACTAGACATGCCCACAGTGCGGCAATTAGGTGCAGTGTCTCGTTCCAGCTTTTTCAGGGAACAGGGTTACAGTTAAATAACCTGAGACGTTCCCTATCAAAAGCTATACTCAATGCTGCATTTCATAACACTAATGGGAATGAGAATACCAACCATGGCACACTAGAAAGTGTCTGGACCCCTCAAGGCTGTGTAGTGTTTACACATAAACGTTGGAGAGGTCTCAGACATGACCTTGGGATGCTGACTCAATACATGCGAGCCTGGAGTAGCATGAATATCCAAACTATAGAACCTGATGAACGTGTGCGGGGAGGACCAGCCTGCAGCTCCCCTTAGTAGAATGGGCCCTAACTCCTGGAGGTGAAGCTTGACCATGCCCTCATAGGCTAGGGCAATATAGCACCCTTAACCCAGTGTGACATTGTTTGCCAAATGGCAGCCGCCCCCCAGTTGTGGCTCCTATAGCATATGAAAAGCTGCTCTGACTTGCGCCACTGGCTGGTGCGGTGGACGTAAATCTGAAGGGCACAGACTGGACACAGTAAGTGAAGTCTCTCCTGATCCGACATAGTGAATGGCGGAGGACAGAAGGCTTCAAGAATGACTAGATGCATGGTCGAGAATGGAACTTTAGGAAGATAATGAGAGTGAGGGTGCAAAATAGTCCAGGGGCAAAATAGGATAGCGAAAATCCCCAGTTCTCTTTAGAGAAGTTATTGCCATGAGAAAAACCATCTTTAGAGTCAGAAGCTTGAGAGGCGCTGACTCTAGTGGTCCTAACCAGACTCTCAAGTGCTACACCTAAGTCCCACGAAGGGACTGTCACTCTGGCAGGTGTCCTCCACCGCTTAGCTCCACAAATGAAGCGAGCGACTAGAGGGTGTTTTCCTATAGGGTCCCCATCAATTAGAGCATGGCCAGCTGAAATGGCAGCCACATAGACTCTGAGAGTAGCAGGACATGTACCTGCAGACAGTCTTTCTTGCAGGAACTCCAGCACTGAAATAACTTGGACTGGGTTTGCTCAGTGTCCAGCACACCATCTTTCAAAAACACACCATTTGAAGGCATAACGTCTTCTAGTGAAAGGCGCCCTAGCACTTAGAATAGTTTCCACTGCACCAGATAAAAGAGCAGGATCTCTTAGTTGGTTTCAGAGCTTGGGCCGGGGATGAAATATCGTCCCCTGTGCCTGAGATAAGAGGTCTCTCCTGATCAGAATCGCTTACAGTCGTCAAGGAGGGATATTAGTCCTGAAAACCAAACTCTGGTCAGCCAACGAGGTACTATCAGCAAGAGGCAAGTCCCTTGTTGGTGGACCTTGGCCAGGATAGTTCACCCCAAAATGAAAATTCTGTCATTAATTACTCACCCTCATGTCGTTCCAAACCCGAAAGACCTTCATTCATCTTCGGAACACAAATTAAGATATTTTTGATGAAATCCGAGAGCTTTC